CTTATAGGGCACTCAAGAAAGCAAAGAAGAAAAACCAGCCCCAAGTATTCCTTCCCACAGTATGGCTTTTCCTGAAAGAAGTCACCAAAGCAGGACTTAACGTTCCTGTAAGCCACAAAAATGATGCAGCCTTCACATTTCATATCCACTTGCCACCCACATAGCTTTGCCCTCCTCAAGGCAGGCAAACCTCTCATGATCACAAACTTTGCCTCAGCAGCCACACATTCATGAACTCCTCAGTTTGCACGGATTATTAACATCTCAAGCATTATTATTCTATCCTTACCTAAGGTCTCTACAACAGACTTTAAGATGGAAATCTTCCTCCAGCAGAAAGTTTCACAGAACCACAGAAAAACTTTGGCTGATCCATGTTCAGCTTGTCCACCAGGACCTTTCCTGCTGTGCTCCTGTCTATCCTGTTGCACGGGGTTGTCTGTCCCAGCTCATTTGCCTTTGCTGAAGTAGGCAAGACTCATCAGCTCATGCCCCAGGTTGCCAGTCTGAATGGCCGTGCTGCCTACAAGCACATCAACTGCTTCTTCCTCACCCGTGGGGTGTCATGGCCAAATCTGCTGACAGCACGCTCTGCCTGCTCACGGAGGCTGTTACTAGGGTGTTGAGCTGCACCTCAGCAATGCCACTGGCAGCCACCCACCCAGCAGCCCCCAAGCCATCAACCACCACCGTGGCACTGATGGTCCAGCCAGTTCTCCACCCCTACCTCCCAGCTTGGCCAGGAGGATGCTGTGGCAGGCTGTGTCAGCAGCCTTGAAAAAACACAGTAAGCTCTAAACAATGCTCTGCCTCTGTCCACTAAAGCAGTTAGCTCATCTTGGAAGAGGAGACTGAGGTGTGACTCGCTCTTGGTCATTCACCTTCACGTGCCCAGAGAGGCTGGCTGCCAGATGGTGACAACCAAGTGCAGTAGCTCATACTCACACGAGTTGGTTAAAACCCTCCTAACTGGGATTCAACTTTAAAAAGGCTCCAAGGTGTGCTGAGAGACAGTACTGCCTCATTCCTACAAGTTTTAAGCTTTACCTCCAAGCTAGCTCTCTCAGGACTTCTCCTGAAGTGTCACTTCCTGCATGTCCTTTTCTACAGCTCTTGCCTCTGTACTGCTCTCTCCAGTCAGCTCTGGATTCACTGTTTGTACCTCACGTCAGCATGAACATTCTAAACACGTCCTCGATAGGAGCACACTGCCCTTACATAGCCTGGGCACACACACACACACACGGGCAGACACAAAATAAGTGTGTAAATGCTGCAGATGCCACTGCTCATTAAGTTCAAGCATCTAGCAGGAGGGATGGCCCAAGCTCACATCCCACTCCAGTCTCCTCCCCTCCCTTGAGCTGACACTGGCACTCGTGCAGCAAACCAGGCTTGTGTGGTTGCACAGAGAACCAGAGCAAGGAATCAATTGACTGAAAGCTAATCCAATAAAAACAAATAAATAAAAAGGTTTAAGAGGATCAGTTTCCCCTCAACTGGTTCACTGTACAGCCAGGCACATGCCAGGACAAGGGATGAGACTGAAAGAAGCAGCAAGGACTGCTGCCTTTTTTTGGCTGTAGCATGGACTGATGCCAGATATACTAATTGCAGAATGACCTACCAGGGGTGCTGCTGCCCCAGTGCTCCCAGACAGCAATGACTAAAGACTACACCTAAAATAAGGAGCTCTGTAAAAGCTAGCTCACACTGTGGGGTTCTGTGCAGGTTGTTTGGGTTTGCTTTGGCTTTTTCACTATTACACATGCAGACTGCTGCAGTGATACACATTTCTAGCTGATAATTCTTAAAAAGACATCAGGTTAAATGAAATTGAAAACAATTCACTTACAATCACAAGGCGCAAACTTTTTTTTTTAGTGGATGCTCAAAAGTGAAATTATTTAATGTAGCTACCATTTAAACAGTGTGGGTCTTGTGCCTGCACAAGTATGAATGCATACTCTACCTCCATCACCACACCTCCTGCAGGGTATCTACAGAGCACAGAGGGGGGCAGACACAGAAGCAGGTGCCTCAGCAGCCTGGCAGAGCACCGGGTGGGGTATTTTTTGGCACCACGTGGGAAAGGAAGCAGTGTGAGATTAGGGGGCAGGCAAGCCAGCTTCCTGCTTCTGTTCACTGCTGCACACTGCAGCCACACTGACGCTTCCCTGCGCTTCTCAGCACAGTTCATACACTCAGCAGGCTTGGAGAGCAAACAGCTTCAACAGCTCTTTTTTGGGATCTTGTCTCCACTGCAGAAGTTTGCTGCTGTAGAGCACAGTGTGTCAAAGGCTGCGAGTCTTCCTGAAGTCAAGTGCAAAGGCTCTCATAACATGATAGGAAAATAACAAGCTACTGAAAAAACCCAACCCTAAGGCGAAGCAGAAAAAGCTATGTGTATTCAGGGCTTGTACCTCTTGTTCACTGAGCCTCAATCAGAAAGTGTAAGGTGTGGCCCATCCGAATGAGTAACTGGCAAGGAATGTTTAATTGGGAGAGAGAGGGAGGGAATAAAAAAATCAAACCAGCACCTTTGCTGAGGAGAGCAGTGTTATGAGTTTGTAGCATAACAGGTTTTCCAGAGGGAGATGAAGTGGCAAGACAAGATGCTGTTGAAGAGCCCAACAGCCTCCACTCAAGCTCTCCCCACTCAGAGACATGGCAGCACAGCCCAAAAGCTCAAGCAGCTCTGTGCCCAACCCACATGTCCCCTCATCCCCAGCCACCCACTGTGGGTGGGACCATCCTGGGAGGGTCTGCAGCTCGTCCCAGTGAAAGACTAGATGGACCAAACCTTATATTCTCCATCAGTGGAACCATGGCATCAGCTGGCTGTTTGCAGCTTAGGGTAGGTGTTGAAGTGGGAAACTCTGCGTTTGCTTTGGGTGGGAAACAGGGTTTCTATAAGCATTGTCATACCAAGTAGTTCCACACCACCACATGTGCAGTGGTGAAAAATCAGTCACAGAAGGGGGATGAAGAGGGCTTGAGGACATACAGAGTTTGTGTACACTGCTGGATCCCTGTACACTATAACAACTGTCAAGTTTATTTAGAAAAAAAAAAACAGTCACACAATAGTTGATAGTTTCGTATAAAAATAATGCACCCATTCTTTCTTCTGGAGGTTAAAGAGGGGAAAAAAAATTTCTCTTATGAAATTACTTTATTTCAGGCCAAATTAAAAAAGAAAAGCATAGTAAAATTTTGCCGTTTCCACAATACCAGCAGATGGTATTTCCTGAATCAAACTCTTCTGGGAGCCTGCAGCTGCACAGCAAAATTTATGTCCTTGTCAGCATCAGGGATCCACCGCTGAGGCTCCCAGGATCTGCGGCTCCAGGCAGCTGGGACACAGCAATTTCCTTGGAGCCACAGGTCCTGGGAGCCTTCCCACGCTGCTCCCTCCCTCCCAGCCATAATCCCACAGCACCAGACAAACCCTGGCCCAGAGTGCCCAGAGCCAAGGGCCTGGGAGCTCTCCACCTCCCAGACCCTTCTTGGGACGGACAAGTACTGCCTATGCTGACTTGGTTGTCAGCTTGGATGTTCCAGAATCGCCAACTTTCTGCTCACACCACCTCTGCCCCCATCTGCAGGTGCTGGTGAGATTGCATTTTTACTTATGCAGAAACTAACACCCAAAATTACTTTTCCAGATACACCAAAGAATTCCAAGTTTTAAAAAAACAAAACACTATGCCGCTCAAGTTCAGGAGGCTGACAGGAGAACAGGAGTCCCCAAAATCTCCTTGTGCCAGGAAGGCAATTACAGCAATTAAGAGAATTTGCCAAACTAACCATAAACGACAATAAAAGCTTTACTGTAATAAACCACTGCTGAGATTTCTTCCAGGAATTCAACGACTTTAAAGTTGCTAGAACTCCCTAATCCTCCTTATCTAACATTTCTTCCTAGAAAAGCACATTTTATTCAAATCTTTTTCAATCCTAAGCATGTTTCCTGAATCCATGAGCAGAACTGAAACAGCACCACCACTAAACCACCTTCCAGTCTTGCTAGTAAGAGTCAGCCTGCACAGGACTTCAGGGGAAAATTTTCCCACATTGTAAAGAAACCTCTGCCACTGGAGAGAGGAAGAAATTTGGCTTGCTTTGTTACGTTATGCATTCAGTTCTGAACAATTCAGTATTGAAAGCCCTTTCATAAGCTTGAAAAATAAAATGAAAGATTTTCATTTCAGTGAGAAATCAGCAAGGTTTATTAATTAACTGAGCAGAGCAAGCTAGTTTTTCTCCTGCAGGCTACATCCAAACATGACACATCCACACACAAAAAATGGATGTAAAAGTGGTTTATGGGGGGTGAGCAGAGGAAAAACCACACTTGATAGAATAATTAACAGAATCAGTAAAGACAGTCAGGACATTCAAATAAAAATTCACTTCACAGCAAAGACAAAAACCAGGATCAGCTTCCCAAAACTAAGAGGGACAGTGAACATAATAGCTGTCATGGTTTAACCCTAGCTGACAACATCACACACCTAGTCTCTCACTTGCCCCAGTGGGATAGGTGAGAGAATCAGGAGAGTAGAAGGGAGAAAACCTGTGGGTTGAGGTGAAGACACCTTAATAGGTAAAGCAGAAGACATGCCAGCAAGCAAAGCAAAACAAGATTTATTCACTGCTTCCCATCAGCAGGCAGTTGTTCAGCCCTCTCCAGGAGAGCCAAG